GTCGCGGCAGTTGGCGTTGGCAAAGTAGGACACCACCCCTGCCGGGATCACTGCAACGTCCCCGGGCTGCATCGTGCGCAGCACCTTCCTCGTGCCGTTCACCACCAGGATCGTATCGATGGTGCCTGCGGGCAGGTCAGAGCAAGCGGGCGCAGGGCGGCGGCGGTGAGAGGCGGCGCGAGGGGCACGTGGCCAGAGAGGCGCCGCCAGAGAGGCGCCGCCGGCGGCCGCACGCGGCGCTCTGCGCGCTCCTTCTCGTCCCACCTTGCGGGCCGCACGGTCCCGCTGCTGCACGGCGCACACACACACGCGGAAAGCACCAGCCTCCAGCGTCCCCGCTGGCTGCCGGAGGCTGGCGACCGAACCAGCCTCCCCTGCCCCCAAGCCCAGCGCTGCCCTGCGTCCGCCTCCCTTCTCGTCAGCACCCTCCGCTGCCCATCCCGGTTCCCCGGTGCGCCGCGCCGCCCTCCCCACACCCACCTGTCAGCACGGTGACAAACTCGTCGGCGTTTGGCTGGAAGTGCGGCACGTAGGTGCTGCAGGGGCGGAAGCGGGTGAAGGTCACCTCCGAGTTGGCTTCCTCCAGGCCGGGCAGGTCATCTGCAGGCAGGGCGGGGCGGGGAGGGTGGGGCAGGGCAGGGTGGGGCAGGGCGGGGCGGGTGAGGGCAGGGCAGGGCAGGGCAGCAGGGGCCAAGCGAGTCGGCGGGCCGGTGGGCAGCCAGGCACGCAGGAGGGTCCGCCCCGGTGGGCCGAGCCCCAGGCGCGGGCGCCCCGCAGCGCGGGTGCCAGCACTGGCGCCCTGCCGGCGCGCCCAGGGCCCCACGCCGGCGCCCCAGCCTGCCCCGCAACAGCCCGCAGCAGCCCCGTAGCAGCCCTGCAGCCCACCGTAGGTCAGCTGCCACTGCTCGGCGTAGTCGTTGTCGACGGTGGCGGGGGCGGCTGTCACAGAAGCCATGAAATCGTTGTACACATCCCCGCCGCCGCCGCCACCCTCCTCTGCCAGGAGGCGGCCGGGTGCACGCCTGCCGGCCCCTGCTGCTGCCGTGCCCAAGGCCGCTGCCGACCCTCTGGCTGACCTGGCCGAGCTGGCCGAGCCGCTCGCCGCCGACAGGCGCCTCGCCGGCAGCCCCCGGCCGGCCGCCAGCGCTGCACGCAGCAGGCTGCGCCGCGGGGTGGCCGCAGGCGCGGGCGCGGGCGCGGCCTTGCCGCCGCCGCCGGCCACCGCCGGCCGCGTCACTCCGGTCTTGTTGGCGGCGGCAGCTTCGCAGGTGGCTGTGCACACCTCATCGTTCAGAGAGTAAATGTGCGCTCGGGGAACCTTGAGGCTGGACTGGAACTCAGAAAAGTTGGTCACCCCGAAGCTAGCTGCGGCGCAGGGCAGGGCAGGCAGGCAGCGGCCCATTGCCTGGTGCGGGAGCGAGCGAGCGAGGGCGGCAGCACCGCATGCCCGCCACAGCTGCGGCAGCTGCGGCGCAGGCCTGGCACCAGGCACGGCGCCGGGTGGTAGCGGCCCCAAGCCGGCACGCATTCCCGCTGCAGCGCAGCCCTCACAGACGCCCCGCAGGAACGCAGGCAGCCAGGCTGGCGCCCCGGCGGCAGTAATACGCGGCGGCGGCAGCATGCATGCCCCGCTGTGGCGGCAGCAGGCAGAGTTGTCGGCGGCGCTCACAGATCTGCGCCTGCTGCGGAAGGCCCATCAGCTGGTCTGCCGGGTATACAAAGTCTGGGTCTGAGGAGGTCAGCACAATCAGCACCTCCGACTCCTCACACTCTTGATTGCTGAAGGCGTGCAGGGCGCCTGCAGGGAGCGGCGGCGGCGGCGGCGGCGGCAGCAGGGACCAGCGAGCGGCGTCAGCAGCGGCGCCCCGCCGGCCGCCCCGCCCGCGAGCGGAGGGCCAGGGCCGAGCCAGCGAGTGCAGCGCGAGCGTCGAGCTGGCGGCAGCCCAGGTGGCAGAGGCTGTGGTGGCAAGCTGCCACCGCCAGCCACGGCAGAGCCAACAGAGGCTGCTGGGCTAGAGAGCTGTTGGGACATCAGGTGGCTGGCTCGGGACTGTCACCTTTGGGCACAGACATGACGTCGCCCTTGGAGAGGGTCCTCTGGAGCACCTCGCCATCCACCACCATCACCGCATCCACCTTGCCTGCACCAACCACCAGCGCAGGGGCCGGCGCCGGCAGCCGCGCACGGCAGGCTCAGCGGGGGTGGGGGGAGGGCATGCAGCCAGCCGCTGAGGCAAAGGGCGGCCGGGGCGCCGCCCAAAGACGCGCCCCTGCTTGCCCGCAGGGCTGGCCGCAGGGCCCATGGGACATACGCATGTAAGCAGGAACCTTGCAGCCGCCTATCCCCTGCTGGGCGGCCCCACTGGGCACTCGGCGGGGGCAGCTGCCTCCAAAAAATACACCGGTAATTGTGGAGCGCACCCGACTTGACGTAGAAGATTTCGGCGCAGTTGGTTTGGTAGTGCGGCGCAAAGGCGGAGCACTCTTTCAGCGTGACCAGCAGCATCTGCCCGTCTGCCGTGTCCAGCGCCAGCAGGTCATCTGCGGGAGCAGCGGCGGCGGCGGCATTGGCAGGCGCGCGCTTGAGCAGGAGCGGCGCCAGGGCAGGCCCTGCCCGCAGCATGCGGTGCACCATAGACGCCTCCCTCGCCGCGGGCCGCCGCCCCAGCTTTGCGGTAGCGGGGGAGGAGCAGGCGGGGGGCAGGACGGGGCTCCTGGGCGCCGCCTTTGCTGCGTCGGGCGTTGCCGCGCGGCGCACCGTCGGTGAGGGCGTGGAAGTGGCCATAGGCGTTGTTGATGGGCTGCGGCGCTGTGGACAGCGAGGCCATGTATGAGTTGTAAGTGAAGGAAGAGTCGTCCGAGGTGTTGTCGGCGACCTGCGCGGCCAGCACGAGCAGGCGGGGTGAGCGTACTGGACAGGAGGCGGGCTTCCGTGGCGGCGTGCGGGGGCAAGCCGTCGGCGTGGCGGCGCGGCCGGGTCGCCCGCTGGCGCCACAGGGCAGGCCCGAGCTGGCCTGCACCGCGATCCAGGCAGGTTGCCGGGCAGGGCAGGGAGGGAGGGAGGCGAGGGGCGCTGGCCACCGCCGACATGTGCTCACCGAAGCTGCCCCCGCTACCGCCGCTGCCCCCAGCAGCCATGCCACCAGCAGACACCGCAGAATCATGACATCGAGCCAAGAAGCCGAACAATGGATGCCACACAGGGGCTGCACATGCCCCTTGCGCCCCAGCGCGCGCCACGCCCCTCCCACATTCCTCCTGCCCATGATGCCTGGAGGCACCTTTAGCGGCGATCACAGCATCATCACAGGAATCTGTAGCGTGCAAGCGCGTCCTGCTCAGGCGCTGGCAAAATGGCGGCGGCGGTAGCCCGCCCAGCACCAGCAGTATAGGTGCCCTTCAACCAAGCCTGCTCAGTGTAACCTCATGGAGGGCATTGCATGATGTGTGTGTGTGTGTTGTGTGTCGGCATAAAGATGGCCATGGGGTTGACCGGCGAGCGGCAGGCGTCCAGCCGGCCGCAAAGAAGAAGAAATGGTCTGTGTTCGTGCGGGAAAATTGGCTTGCGGGCCAGAGATGTAGCTGCGGATGACCAGCTTGGAGGGACGAGGAAAGAATTTGTGTTAGGGAACGGGTTGATGGTAGATAGCCAGCTGCGGGAACTACAAAGGGGGCACACTCGAAGGCTTTGGGACAAAAAGGCGGGATTCGTTCAGTTGATGCCGCAAGGGGGGTACAGGCTGGCCATGGCGGGGGTGCCCAAGGATGGGCATCAGGTAGCAAGAAGCGAAGGGCAGTCCGGGGGTTGGGAGTTCTCCGTACGGGCAAATGAGGTGGACAGCAGGCCAGGCACACAACTAAAGTACCTGTGGCAAGGGCTGGGCCATGGGGCAAGCTTTGGCGCAGGGCAACAAGTCCTGCGTGCCAACAGCGCTGCTCCTGGCACTGACGCACACCGGCGGCGTGCTGGGCACGGCACAGGAGCGGCAGGCAGAAAGGGCATGCAACAGGCCCTGGCCAGGTGTAATGGGCAAGTAGTCAAATCTGGAGAAAGCTAGCGGAGAGGCAGTGGAAAAGAGTGGACAGTAAACGGGGAAGCAACGGGCTGTAGACATACTACCAAAATCATCAAGGATGGATCGTTTATTTGATGGCAGATTGCTCAATTGTTGGGCAATGATGCGAGGGGCATAAAGGGCCCCGGCGCCGGTTTCTGCGTGAGGCGCACTGCAGGCACCGTAGCTGAGCTGCATCACCCCGAGCAGACGCTGCTGCTGCTGCTGCTGCCCCTGCCGACGCTGCGGCGCGGCGCGCATTCATCCTCGCTGCCGATGCCTTGGCTGTGCTTGCTGCAGCCTGCCTCTGAGCAGCTGCGCAGCACAGTGTTGTTGTCGCTGCCGCCGCTGCTGCTGCTGTCGGCCTGCCGCTCTCTCAAGCCGGGGAGCCAGCGAAAGAGCAGCTGCGTGGCGTGCTGCTTGTCCATGGGCTTCGGCTGCACCAAGCCGTGGCAGCAGGCAGGCATGAGATTTTCCAGATGGGTACAAGTGCAGCAGGCAGTGGCAGTGTGAAGATGCAAGTCTGCCGAGATGCTGTGCTGTGTGTGCATCGCCACTGTACCAGCCACGTTGCGTTGCAAAGGCACTGCGCTGCACAGCGGCGCTCACCACTATGTCGTTGAAGCCGCTGCGCATGCACTGGTGCCAGGTGGGGGAGCCGTGCCGCACATCCTCGCTAGTGAACGCCACGATGGGCACCGGCAGCCAGCCGTGCTGGCTCTCGGCACTGCAGGACGGTAAGCGCACGGACAAGCGGTCTGCGGGTGGCGGGGCGGGCATGGGGCAGAGGGCAGCTGCACAGGCAGCAGCAGCTGCGCCCAGCCAGCCAGCATGCGGCCGGGTGTGCGTCGCGCCAGCAGAGCCACCCAGGGTTGCACACCTGCGCATGGAGACTGCGGCGTTGAAGCCGTCCAGGACGGGCATCATCAGATCCAGCAGCACGCACACGATGGTGGAGCGGCCGTGCTGCAGGTACTGCTGCAGGCCCTGCTGCCCATCGCAAGCCTCGATGACATCGAGGTGCAGCTGCAAGAAGGCAGCAGAGAGGGCGGGGCGAGATCCGTTGCTGGGTGAGCGCGCACGAACATGCAGGCGGGCACATCTGGCGCTACGCAGTCCCTGTCTGCATGAGTGTGCTGCCCTGTCTCCCGACACGGGTTGAGCAGTGCAGGGTTTGGGGCGGCGTGGTAGGATGGTGCGGCGGCACAGGATTGGCGGCGGCAAACTGTGCGACACCCAGGGCCTCAGCTGAGCTCACCGAGCGAAGGAGGCGGGTGATTACCACACGATTAATCGGTTGGTCGTCCTGCAGAGGCCGGCAGGTGTGGGTTTGGGTTGGGCGGCCTTGCATGGTGCCCTTGCGGGCCGCCCCCTGGCATATCTGCCGCTTTCCAGCTCCCTCAACTCACCACGACCAGAACCGTGCTCATCGGGGCAGCCGAGGACAGAAACTCGGCGGGTGGGCACCCGGTGGGCGGCGGGCAGCTGGGAGCCACAAACCGTGTTGGGGTTGTTGCAGCTGAGTCTGCAAGACTCCTCTTGGATCGAGCGGATCGCTGCCCAAAAGCGCTTGCAAAAGGTTCCCAGCTAGGATCTCGGCCACTTGGCGCACATCAGGGCCCTCTGTCCAGTCCGCCGGCTTCTATTCGGTCCCCGTGAACTCTTGCAACGCGAGATTCGCCAAGCCCTTCGGCCAAATCGTGTACGGCTGTACTGCAGCCACTGTTGTGATTTGACCAATTCCCACCAACACCGGCCATGCTGCACGCATGGGCATTGCCGTGATGGCGCTGGGGCACCGTGCTGGCACAAACGGCTACGGGTCACAGAGTGGCGGGGGGCAAAGTCAAGCGGGCGGCTACCAAGACCTATCAAGACTACCAACCTATGCGAGAAAATGAAACAACGTACAAACGGAAGAAGGAAACAGGGGCAAGGCAATGTACACGCTACCGAGCAGAGAGAAGTACAGGCGGATATGCCAAAAGGGAGATGCCCTCCAAGCGCCAGGCTTGGCGGCGCCATCGGCACCGAGGCGGGCATTGTGGTTCATTTCATGCAACAGCATCGTCAAGCATACAGGCTGCCGGGGCGGTGCTGCAGCGCCGCCAGCGCCTGCGCCGCCGCGTCGGCCAGCAGCAGGGCCAGGCACGCGACGGCGCGGGCCGCGGCGACGGGAGCCAGCACCAGAGCGCGCGGCGGGTGCAGCAGGCCCAGGCTGGCCCGCTCCACCACCCCTGCCCCACACAGCAGCACCACCTCCGCCACCGCCAGCAGCAGCGGGTAGAGCTGCAGCAGGCGCTCTGCGGCGGCCGAGGCCAGCCGGCCGGCGCGCGTGCCGCCGGCGCGCACGGGGCCACCGCCGCCGCCCAGCCGGCCCGAACCGGCAGCCGGCCCGGCGGCGGGAGCGCCGGGCACGTAGCACTGGAAGGCGGCGCCGCCGCCCTCGTTCATGCGCTGCCGTGCCAGGCGCAGCGCGACGGCGGCGCGCGCCTGCAGCTCCTCAGCATCCTCAGCCAGGCGCTGCACCTCCTGCAGGTCCAGCTGCCGCAGCTCCGCCTCGGTCTGCAACACACGCAGGCAAAAGCGCAGGCACAGCAGCGCAGCCAGGCCACGGTTGGCGGCCCGGGCAGTGTCGGGACAAGCAGCAACAAAAGCGCGCCCCGCTGCCCTGTGTTGCCCTCCACATGCCCTCGCCACGCCCGCGGAAGCGCGCCCTCTCGCACACCTGCGGCAGCGTGACGGCGCTGCTGATGAAGCTGGTCCAGGATGCTGCGGAGCGAGGGGTGTCGCAGCCCTGCAGGGCCGCCAGAGCCTCCTCCTCCAGTGCGCTCCCCTGCCGCAGCGCCCGCCCCGCGCCCAGGAACGCGGCGTCCGCCGTGGCGGCGCTGGCGGCGCTGGCGGCCGAGGCCGCCGCGCCCGCGGCCTTGCCGCTGCCGCCCGCGGGCGCCTGCTGCGCCGGCGAGCCGCGGGAGGAGGCGGGCGACAGCTGCAGCAGCAGGCCGGGCCTGCAGTGGGGGGCAGGCGCGGGGCCAAGGCATAGGCAGCCATAAGAGACAGCACTGGTGGTCGCGTCGCGCTGCTTATGGCAGGCAGGCAGGCAGGCAGGCAGGCAGCAGGCAGGCGGGCAGAACCACAGGCGGCAGAGGCTGCAACAGAAGCGGCACCTTGGGCTGGGTGACGCCCGGGCCTGCACCGCGGGCTGCGCAAAGCTGGACGGCGGCGCCGGCTGCTGCTGGTGGGGTGGGTGTGGCGCAGGCGGGGCGCCCGCCTGGTGCGGCCCGCTCCAGCCTTCGTCAAGCATGTCCAGCAGGGATCCCTGGCTGGTGGGGCTGCCGGCGTCGGTGTCGGTGTGGCGCGCGCTGTCTGCGGTGGGGCGGGCCGCCGCACGCTCCCGCTTGCCGCCGTCGCCAGACCTGCCGGGGAGGGAGGCAATGACGCGCCAGCAGGCAAGGCAGGCAGGCTCGATTAACGGATGAGATGGAGGGCTGATGGAGGTCGGCACATGCGCTGCGCTGCTTCAAAGCAGCTTGAAAACACCAGCTGCGGAGCAGCGGCGGCGGCGGCGGTGGCGGCGGCAGGCTCACCGCTCGCGGCGGCTGGAGCTGAGGCGGCGGAACATGTCGAGCGAGGCCTGGGGGTTGTCTGGGTCGAGCGCGGCGCGTGCTGCAAATGAGACTGGGCCCGCGGCGCCCTGCTGCCTCTGGTGGGGTGGGTGGGCGAGGGCGGCCCGCAGAGAGGGGTCCAGAGCCGCCGCTCCCGCCGCCGCCGGTCCTAGAGTCAGGGTCCGAGAGAGCTGCTTGACTAGCCTGCTGGCTCCCTGAGCTTCCCCTGGCTTTACGTTGCTGCTGCTCATTGCCGCAGCAACCCCATCTCCGCGACAGGTTTGTTTGAGGAGGGTGGGTAGGACCTGCAATGCCGCCAGCACACCCGACGCGCTGGGTGGCGCCTTGGCAGAGCACCGGGAAACGCGCAGGGGGGCCAGCGCGTTTCAGAGAAATGGGCGCATGGCAGTACGGGCAGGACAGAGACCACGCCGTAGGTGCGAAGCCCTCATCGCCAGCGAACGCTAAATCAAGGGGTGCAGCGCAGAGGCTGCTTGAGACCAGCCTTTTTGGCCTCGATCAGCGCCGCTCTTGGAGTTCAGCGCAAGCCGAGCTCCAGCGCGGCTGTTGCAGCGTCTGCATTCACTGCCAGAGGCAGGGCACACCGGCTGTGATCGCCTGGGAAGCAGTGCAAGGGCGTCAGCGATAGCAGCAGAGCGCTTGGGCGACCCCTTGCTAGCAGCAGCGGCCGTAGGCTGAGCAGCTATGCGGCAAGGAACAGGGCTTGCAGCAGCCGTGCTGCTGGGACTGCTGGCCCTGGCTGCAGCGTGAGTGGCCCTGGCATCCCGCCCGCCATGCGGCGCATGTTGCTGCCGCCCCGGCCCGCTGCCCTGCTTGTCTGCTCACCCATGCCCACATGTTGCTCCCTGCTGCAGACGCGACTACTATGACATTCTCCAGGTGCCGAGGTCGGCCACCGATGCCCAGATCAAGCGTGCCTACCGCAAGCTGGCACTCAAGATGCACCCGGACAAGGTGCAGGGCAGCGAGGAGGAGAAGAAGGCGGCGGCCCAGAAGTTTGCTGACGTCAGCCACGGTGGGTGGCGGCGGGGGCGGGATCCGCAAGACGCCTGCTGGGGATGGCGGGGAGGCGCAGCCGGCAGTGCGAAACGGGGGCAAAGCAGGAGGGGAAGGATGCGGGCCAGCCCCGCTTGCAATACAAGGAGCAGAACCCACCTGACCGCCGCTCCCGCCCTCTCCCAACCAACCCGCACTTCCACGCTCCCCGCTGCTGCAGCCTATGAGGTGCTGACCGATGCCGAGAAGCGCAAAGTGTATGACCGGTATGGGGAGGAGGGGCTGAAGCAGATGGGCAACGGCGGCGGCGGCGGCGGCGGCTCCGCCCAGGACATCTTCTCGCAGTGAGTGCCGCCCGCGCCGGCTGGGGATGGCCGATGCGCCGAGCCGGGTCGCGCCTGGCGCGCTGCGCGTCCTGGAACCGCCGCCAGGGCCAGCTGCCGGCTGCCTACCTGCCCGCCGCGGCCTCGCCGCCTCCCGCCGCTCCGCAGGTTCTTCGGCGGCGGTTTTGGCGGTTTTGGCGGGTTTGGCTTTGGGGGGCAGCAGGAGGAGGAGGAGACGCCCAAGGGGCACAACGTCGTTGTGGAGCTGGAGGTGACGCTCAAGGACCTCTACCTGGGCAACCACTTCAAGGTGCGGTCCTGCTGGAAAGGCAAAGGCAGGGGCGGCGCGAGCGCGGGGCTGTGGGAGAGCGGGAGGCGCGCGCCAGGGCCCTCTGGGCCACAAGCCTGCATGCCGTGTGCTTGCTGGCGGGCCGTTTTGCAGAGCTGTGCGATGTGCTGCCGCCTGCCCTGCGCCGCTGCATGCCCCACCACCGCACACGCGGCCGTCGCCGCCCTGCCCGCAGGTGGTGCGTGACAAGAATGTGGTCAAGCCTGCGCCCGGCACGCGCAAGTGCAACTGCAAGCAGAAGGTGGTGACGCAGCAGATCGGTCCCGGCATGTACCAGCAGTATCACAAGCAGGTGCGCTGCCGCAAGGCTGGCACAAGCTACTCCGAAGTCAGCGCCCGCAGCGCCCGCAAACCGCTGCCGCTGCCGCGTGCGCAGCGGCCTGCGAGGCGGCACTCTGTGCTGCCTGCGAGGCGCCCTGCACGCCGGCCGCCCCCTCTACTGCGCGCTGCGTTGCCAGCTGGGCCTTGCCGCACGCCAGCGCAGCCGCCCTGGCTCTCCCTCACGCCCGACATGCCACATGCTCCCCGCCCCGCCACCACGCAGGTGTGCGAGGACTGCCCCAATGTCAAGTATGAACGGGAGTCTGAGTCACTGACGGTCAGTGTGGAGCCGGGCATGCCGGATGGCCACACCATCACTTTCTTCGAGGAGGGCGAGCCCATCCTGGACGGTGAGGCGGCAGCCGCAGGCGGACAGCAGCAGGCGGCGGCGGCAAGCCGGGGAGCCAGAGGGCCAGCCGGCAGCTGCTCCGGCCGCCTGCGGCGGGGCAGCGGCACGGCTGGGGTGCACGGCATGGCCGCATGCCGTGCCGCGCTGCGCTGTGGTGTGGTGCAGCAGCCAGGCGTCCAAGCCCTGCCCGCCCCGGTTGCATCCTGCCAGCCTTCACCCCGTCTCGCGTGCCCACCGCAACGCCCCCCTCCTCAACTTTTGCCACGCAGGCGAGCACGGAGACCTGCACGTCGTGCTGCGCACTCTGCCGCACCCCAGCTTTGAGCGGCGCGGCGATGGGCTCATGTACAACGCCACCATCAGCCTGCTGGAGGCGCTGGTGGGCTTTGAGCGACAGGTGGGCGCGCGGCAGAGCGGCTGGCCGCGGCTGGCACCCCGGCGGCTGCTTGTGCTGGATCAAGTTGTTCGTGAGCTGACCTCCACCGCCGCGACAGTACCACATACGCACACACACAGAAACACACGCCACTGCCCCACCGCTAGTCCACTGTGCTTGCTTGCTTGCTGCCGCCGCGTGCCTCCCAACCGCAGATCGAGCACCTGGATGGCCACAAGGTGCAGATCGGCACGCAGGGCGTCACGCGCCCCGGCGAGGTCCGGTGGTACCAGGGAGAGGGCATGCCGCAGTTTGAAAAGGTGGGCCGCTGGCTGGCCGGCTGGCCACGCATGCTGCGGACTCTGGAGTGATCTGCTCTGGAGAGTTGGGGACTGGCGTTGGTGTTGGGAGGCGCTTGCGGCGCAGGGTTGCCGAGCTCGCCATGCCAGCTGGGCTTGCGTTGACCAGGCTTTGCTCCTTTGCCCTGCAGACCACCCGCGGCGACATGTGGGTGACCTTCTCGATCGCCTTCCCGCGCGCCATCAGCGACGAGCAGAAGCAGCAGCTGCGCGAGCTGTTTGGCGGCAACGACGAGTGGCAGCGCAAGGATGAGCTGTGACCCGTGCCTCCAATTTCATTTATTCAGCAGTATGGTCCACATCGAGCACTGTAAACACCATACGCTTCGATGCTGTTGGGCGCCTCGCTGGCGGTCAAACGCGGCGCTGGTCAACGAAGCGCATCGCGCTGGCGCCTGCGTCAAATCCGCTTTCAGGGCATCCCCTGCTGCTGCCCCATCTTCCTTGAGCATCCCGCTGCCAACAATCGTGGACGCCCTCGCACAAACTCGGAGCTCAAAGCACCACGCTGCACGCTCAGCCTCCCCCGGGAGGCTTGATCGACACCACAACCCCGATTGTTCTGTTAGCAGCCAACTGGGAGTTCATCAGGTAGCATGGCGGCCAAGGACGGACCTCAGCTGGCCGAGCTGGTGCACCGCAGCCTGCCCTTCACCATCCACGGCGTCAAGTAAGCGGGGAGGCGTGACAGGGGATGCAGCGCCGCGCGCTCCAAGACCCGCAGCGGGGTTCCGACAGCTCCGCCCTTTGCCCCGCCCTGACGCCCTGCCGCCGCAGGTGGGTCCCCGGCACGGCCCGCTTCGTGGTGCTGGGCAGCCGGCCGCGCGGCACCGGCGTGCTGCAGGTCTACGACCTGGATGGGCTGGAGCTGCAGCAGGTGGCGCAGGCCGAGCAGCCGCACTCGCTGCAGTGCGGCAGCTTTGGGGCCAGCGCGGCTGCCGACGCACACCTGGCGGTCGGCACGCAAGCGGGCCAGCTGCGGCTGCTGGACGTAGCGCGCCTGGATGCGGGGCCGCTGTTCAGCGTGCAAGCCCACGCCGGAAACGTCAACGCGCTGGATGCCTTTGGCGGCCAGGTGGGACGCGCCGGGAGGCACGGCGCGGTGTTGCCGGCACAAACAATATGAACGTCTCTGGTCGTCCGGAGATGTTGCAGACAACCCGTCAGTTGAGCTGCAGACAACCGAACGGTTGGCTGCTGCTCAAGGCTGCTGCTCTGTTTGAGCCCCTGCAGTCAACCGGCTGCGGCCCGCCAGTCATCGCCACCGCCGGCAAGGACGGCGGCGTACGGGTGTGGGACCCGCGCCAGCCCGACGTGCCCGCCGCCGCCTTCCTTCCCGCGGCCGGCCCGCCGCCGGCCTCATCCTCCGCAGCCGGCGGCGCCGGCGCGGGCGGCGGCGGCGGAGCCAGCGACTGCTGGTGCGTGGCGGTCGGCAACTCGTACAACCAGATGGAGCGGTGCTTGCTTGCTGGCTACCAGAATGGAGACATCAAGATGTTTGACCTGCGGGCGGCGCGGGTGCGGTGGGAGAGCAACGTCGGCAAGGGCGTGTGCGGCGTGCAGGTGCGTGGGCGGGGACCTCCAGCTGCTGGGCCGGCTTGCCGCACCGGCGGGGCGGCGGCCGCTCTGCGCAGGCCGTCTGCGCCACACACACAAACAGCACCTGCAGCCACACAGCCACACAGGCCCGCAGTCCCGTATTCACCTGGCCCACCACCTGCCCGCCGCCGCAGTTTGACCGGCGCGACATCGCCATGAACAAGTTTGTGGTCACCTGCCTGGAGAGCCAGCTGTGCCTGTTCGAGGCGCGCACCCAGCACCCTCGCCACGGCTTTGCGGCGCACACCCAGCGGCTGGCTGCGAGCGAGGGGCGGGAGGCCACGCTGTGGGGCGTGCACCACCTGCCCCAGAACCGAGACGTGTTCATGGTGTGCGGTGGGGACGGCAGCCTGGCACTGCACAAGTACCAGTACCCAGACCAGAGGTGGGCCCAGGGCCGGGCTGGGGCGCTTTGGATGAGGACCTTTCCGCTGCCACAGAGGAGAGCGGGGGTGGGCAGGCGGCAGCGCTGACCACAGCATGGACAGCGTGGCGGCACGGGATGCGTGCCACGGCGGCAGCACCGAGCCTCGCCTCTCAGACACCGCTCGCACGCTCGCTACTACTGTCGATCGCCCTTTGCAGGGCTGTCAAGGACGAGGATGGCGAGGCGCGCGGCGTGGCGGGCAGCGCAGAGGTGGTGTGCGAGCGCACCATCTCCTGCCAGCCGGTCGCGGCCTTCGACTGGAGCGGCGACAAGGCCGGGGCGTTTGTGGCGGCGGCCTTTGACCAGACGGTGCGGGTGGGCATGGCCAGCCGGGTGGCCACGCTGTGAGGCTGCTGGTGACCACGCTGTGCCCGCTGTGCTCTCCCCATCCCTGTGCGTGTCTCGCATCGGCACCAGTCAAGTGTTACAGCTCAGTCAGCAATCAAAGGCAGGAGGACAGATAGATGGGGGGACAGATCAGGGAGAGGGGTGGGGAAGAGAATGTGGAGGCGTCAGCGCTAAGGGGATTCGGCGGGCGCTAAGGGAAGGGAAAGGGGTTCAGCTGTGCACGGGTTCAAGAGGGGACCAGAGTGTCATCAAGGGGAGTCAGAGAGAGGGGAAGGGAGAGAGATAGCAAGGTGCATCACGCTGCCGCCAGGCGCGGGGCGGGCGGGGCTCTACATGCCGCCCCACAGCTTGAGCAGGCTGCCAAACATGCCGCTGGCCTCCTGCCCCTCCACCTCCACCTCCGCCTCCTCCTCAGCCAGGTCTGGCAGCAGCACGTTGTCGATCACGTGCACCACAGCGGGGCAGCCGGCGTTGACGTCGGGCACCACCACCTCGGCGCTGGACAGGGAGCCCACCACGTTGATGCGGCGGCTGGCAGACTTGGGGTGCAGGCCGTACACCTGCGCGGGCAGGGGAGGCGGGGAGTGGTGGGGGCAGGTGATGAGAGGGTGAGGGCCAGCAGCGCTGAGAGGGTGAGGGGCAGCGGCAGGTTGGCGGGCACAGCAGACCATGGCAGTTGCGCCCTGCCCCCCCTGCTCCCCTGCCCACCTGCTGGATGGCGATGCTCAGCACGCCGTCCTCGGGCTCCTCCTTGGCCTCCTTGCCCTTGTGCATCCAGGAGGCGGTGGGCTCGGCCTCGGCGGCGGCCTCCAGGTCAGCGGCCAGCAGGGTGGGCAGCTCCTGGGCGGTCTTGAGCTGGGAGGAGGTGAGGGCCTGGCCGGGCACAACGTGGTACTTGAGGATCTGCGGGGCAGGCGGGCGGGGTGGGGCAGGTGGTGGTGGAGAGAGGGAGGGAGGGAGGAGGCGCGGCGTGGGGAGAGCAGGAGGAGGCACGGCCGCTCCCACCATGCGCCACCCACTCACCGCCTGCAGCAGCTCGGGCTGTGCCAGCAGCTGGGCGGGGGTGACGTCCAGTGCCTCCAGGGCGGTGGCAAAGGCCTCGTCAGTGGGGGCAAACACGGTGGCCTGCAGGCTGCGGTCGGACAGGGCGGGGGCCAGGCCGGCGGCCTGCAGGCGCAGGCGGCGGCGGCGTGGAGGGGAGGCAGGCAGCGGTGGCGGTGAGCAAGGGAGCAGAGCAGGGGAGCGGTGCAGGGGAGCAGAGCAAGCAAAGCAACCGCTGCTCCCACCGCGCTCACCTGGGCGGCGGCGAGCAGGGTGGAGAAGTTGCCTGCGGCCTGGGCCACCTCGGCCACGCTCAGGCACTCGGCGGGGGTGACGGTGGGTGTGAGGATGGTGCCGGGCGCGCCCGACACCGCCGGCACCTCGGGCACCAGCCAGGCGTGCTTGGAGAAGAACTTGGTGCGCAGGCCGGAGATCTTGGCCTCGTGGTGCTCGCGGATGCCCGAAATGAGTGGCCCCTTGGTGGCGGCCGCCCCGCCCACCAGCGCGCAGAGCAGCAGGGCGAGCGTGGCGCGCTGCTGCATGGTGGAGAGTGGTGGAGGGGCTGGGAGCAAGCAGGGGAGGCGCGCGCAGGGCCTGGAGCAGCGAAAAGGAGGGAGAGAATAGCGAGCAGAGCGCCAGGCGCAGGGTTTTGAGCGGCCCCAGGGCCCTGCCCCTCGGGAGGAGGCTGGGATGGGTGGAGCGACGCACGGCCTCTTGGAAGGAGCCAGGGCGCCGCATGGGAAATGTACCGCCGGCCCGTCCCGCCGGAGACCACTGGGCACCCCTATTGCGTCTCCCATCCATTACAGGGGGCCTCCTGAACCAGGAGGGCCGCAGGATTGCATGCACCGGCCTAGCTGGGCTCGCCGGCCTCCACCGCCGCGCCCCCCGCGCCGCCGCCGCCCGGCGCCCGCGCCGCCTGCCACTGCCGCCGCCCCTCCTCGCCCAGCTGCAGCAGGCGGCGCAGCTCCTCAAACACGCCGTTGGCGTCCAGCACGGCAAAGGCGCTGGCGCGCTTGCGCTGGCCCATCAGCTGCGCAAGGAGGGGGAGGAGGGAGACCGCAAGGCGGGTGGTCTTGGTGGTGGTGGTGGTGTTCGAGGGCGTGGGGCAAGCGCGGGGCGGCGAGGCTTGGCAGCGGCTAGTAGCAGAGCGGGCGCGTGAACCGGGTGCCAGGAGGTGGCAGCCGCCCCGCACCTTGCCCAACCTCTGCCGGCTCAGGGCAAACACCAGCGGCACCTCGCGCTCCCGAGCCAGCGCGACCAGCGCCGCCGCGGGGCAGCGCACCGCGCCGCCGCTGCCACCTGCCGGGGCTGACGGCGCTGCTGCTCCCTTGGCGGGCGGCCCTCCAGTGCCGCCGCCGCCCTCCGCCTCCTCCTCCTCACCCCCGTCCGCCTCTGCATCTGCTGCCGCCAGGCTGCTGATGTTGGGGGCCAGAAGCACCAGCTTGGCACGCCGCACCTTAATCGCCTTCTCCACCTGCATGCACCCCAGCCGGCGGCGGCAAACCGGTCACAGGGTCGGCCCTGGAGCGGGCAGCTCGGGGGCAGCTAGCCCTAAGCCCTAAACCCCGATCCTCGGTGCTGCAGCTCCAGGGCTGGCCCCGCGGCAGCTGCTCTGCATGGCGGGGCCAGCCAGCCTGCCCGCTCTGCCCCAGGGTGGGCGGCGTGCTAAGCTGGTGCTTCTGGCCCGCAACATCAGCAGCCTGGCGGCAGCAGATGCAGAGGCGGACGGGGGTGAGGAGGAGGAGGCGGAGGGCGGCGGCGGCACTGAAGGGCCGCCAGCCATGGGAGCAGAAGCGCCGTC